GGACAGAGCGCAGGCCTGGAGAGCCGGCCTGGTGCACCGGCCAGAGCATCCCGAAGGATACGAAAGAAGACAGAATGCTGGACACAGGTTCTGAGCACCTGAGCCGGATACTGAAGGCTCTTCCAGAACTGCAGAGCGCTGGCAGTAAAGGACAGAACGGCTTCGCAGAGAGGTACTGGGTAGTGTCTGGGGAACCTGGCCTACGAATTCCACACGCCCACATACATCCCTTCGCTCCCCTAGCAGCCAGCACAGGCCTCACATTGCCGACCCTAGAGAGGGCTGCTGTTGGAGGTAGGGGGCAGGTGAGTGTATTTATCCACAGGCACCGGGGATCCAGTTCTTAGCGCCACGAAGGCTCGGGAGGTCCGTCCCTCCTGCTGAGCGGCCAAAAGGCGAGAAGGTGTGTGGTGCAGGGCTGGAGGGTCCACAGGGAATGACCGGAACAGGCCCGCGCCCCGAAAAGGCGGCAGGAATTGGAGGGTGGCAGAGGATGCTGAGCAAGGCTGAATCCAGAGAGGATGGCCTCTCTCCCCGACTCCAGCCCGGCTTTGGAGAAGCCCCAGGGGATCCCAGTTCTAAAGGGTCTCTAAGGGGAGCTGGGAGCAGGAGTGCCCCTCCCTGCCAACGGTCTTCCCATTTCTCCCACTGAGAATGAAGGACCTGAACCACTACTGCCCTCCCCTCACCGTCTGGCAGTCCCCTTCCAATTCCCTTAGGTTCAGTTTCTCAATCGCCTTACCAAAAAAGAGAGGAAGTGAAGAGTCGGAAGAAATTCTCTGGGCCCCTGGGGTCTTGGCGGGTTGAGATCACAGTGAGGCCGCAGGGGGAGACTGAAGGTGAAGAGGAGAGCAGCAGGCCCGGGACACCGGCGCTCAGGTCCTAGTCGCGAATGGGGAATCCCTGATCCCAGTGAATTCGCGCCAGGCGGACTCGCCACGCCTCCAAGCTCTGCGTTGGTCTTGTACTGGGCAGGAAGTTTCCTCTAGAGCCAGGCAGGGACTCAGCGTAGGCACGCTTTGTTCCCCAACCCACGCACATACTCTGAAGGGGCGGTACCGCACCCCTACATCCCCCAGTACACCCTCGCCATGTGTCTGTACCCGGGCACAGGTGGTCCAGCTTTCCTCACCAAGGACCCGGGGGACTTAGCGAAGCAAGATGTCCTCTGTCTCTAGGAAGGGGAGGACGCGGGTGGGAGCCTAGTGGCTCCCGCACAAAGCGCCTCCTTGATGGGGAATTAGACCGCCCAGGCAGCAAGCTTAGGGAGGCACTGGGGGCCAGGCGGCCTGGGGTTCAAGAACCTCTGTTCCTGCGGATGGCCAGGCTCCCAGCTCGGCCTGAAAGGGATCTGACTGGGTCAGGGAAGGGCTCAGTGAGGAGACCCAGTCCTCCTCTCCACTGCTCCTCCATACACACCCGGGCGCCTCCGCCCACAGAAGCCCTGACTTCCTCACTCCATCCCCACATGCACGTGCACTGGGGCTGGGGCCCCACTGCCCAGGCCTGCCCACAAGAGACACCCAGGATTCCAGAGGGAGGCCGAATCTTATACCTCCAAGAGAGAACGTGAGAAAGGAAGAATAAAGGGTGCAGGAGAAAGGAGAAGACTGGAACACCCAAGAGTCGATACCTAGCTGGCTTGGAGCCGGGCGGTGCTCCCTGCAAGGCTCCCAGGAGCAGACAGGGAAGGGAAAGCTGCCAGAACGTCCAGAGTCTAGGCTCCGGAGGACTCTATAAGAGGCCTCCGACCTCTCCCAGGAGTGTGCTCACACCCAGGACCTCATCCATGGGCACTGGAAAAGGACTCCAGGACTGAGACTCGAGTTACTGGCATGGAAAGATGCCATTTGTGAAATGAAAAATTAAAACGATGACAACAAACGAAGCCTGGCACGGTCCAGCATGTGCTGCTTTTCCATTTTTGTCTGCACAGAAACTGGGGCCTCATCTGCAGCAAGCAGAACCGCTAAAGCTGGGGGTAGGGATGCAGTGTCCAGGCAAGCCGAGTGTTTGCTTATATTTCTGTTTATAATTTTTGTATATTACATGCATCTTACTCAAGTAATAAAAATAAACTTGAGAGAGCCAGAGAGGCAAAAAACTGAAGTGCAGAGTAGAGGTGGTGGCTGGGTGAGAGACAAGACTTTTGGGAAGCTTGGCGGATGGAGAGGGAGAGGGTCTGACCTGCATGGCAGTCAGCAAGGAGTTCACTGCCACTGCTAGGGCCAGGCCGGGAGGAACAGTGCAGAGCTCATGGCCACCGGCAACATGGATTCCTTCAGCCGAGCTCAGTTCCACTGGGTCACACTTTCCCCAGGACCCTCCTGAAACCTCTTTCTCACTCCTTCCTCCTACATACATACACATTCCTACAGTCCTGTGCCCCAGGCCCACAAACTCTTAGCACCTACAGGTAGTCCACGCTGTTCTCCCTCTGAACACCCTGACTTAAGCCTTGGGCTCAATCCCACCTTTCCTGCCACCCACCCAAATCACTTTGTGGCTGCATTTCCCCTTCCTTCCTTCCTTCCTTCCTTCCTTCCTTCCTTCCTTCCTTCCTTCTTTCCTTCCTTCCTTCTTTTCTTCCTTTCTTCCTTTCTCCCTCCCTTGTTTATTACCAGCAAGACCTCCCAACCTGCCCTTTTTACCCTCCCCTTTCCCTAGGTTCCATATCCTAAGTGGAGTAGTTGTTAATTATTCAATTAAATAATTGGTATGTGTTCCCCCCCTCCCCCACAACCTCACCTTCTGCCGGGAATATCTGGCATCGGAAACACGCAACCATTCACATGAACACTGTACACGCACTATGGTACTGACACAGGCACACACTCATATACCTGCTTTCCCACTCACAGGGATAATGGAGGCTGCACCAGGGACACATGCAGCCATGCTACAGCCACTTTCACGGGCATATCCACACCCGCTCTCATAGACCCCCTTAACCAGATTATTGGACAGACCGAAGCACCCTGCTCACGCCAGCAGGTCAAAAAAACGAAGGAAAGTCTGAGATTGTAGTGCTTCAGGGGAAGGGTCACAGGCCTTGTTGCGCGTGCACAGATTTGCACACACACCTTCGTTCTCAATCTTTCGTCCAGGTCCCCTTCTGAGTCAAAGAAAGTCCCCTCTCAGTGCGTTGAGAGAGACACTAGGCTCGGGCGAGCGCCGGCCTCTCCAGTAAATACTGGGGATCCGCACGCCTCGGGGAGGGGTACTGAGCCCCAGGACCCCAGCTGCTCAACTCCTCACAGCCTGACCCTGCTTCACTTCCAGCTTTGCTCACCTCCGCCCTTTACCTCTCCGCAGACTCGGAGAAGGCGGGACCCGGGACAGCGACACAGCGACACAGCGACAGAGCACGAGGAAAGCTCCGCGGAGGGAAACAAGGAAATCCCCACCTTCTATCTCTGTCTCGTGGTGCGGTCCCCTGTGACGGCCTCAGAACTGCGGGGAAACCAGGACTTTGCCGCCTACCACGGTCAGCCTTGCTCTCGAGTCTCTGGGCGCCTGCACCCGGCTGTCTGCTTGTGCGCCTGTTCAGTCTCCCCCGGGGACGCGGGTGAGTCGATCTCCTTGCCTCACTTTCCCAGCCTCATTTGCCCACTCTCGCCCTTGATCTTCCATGAGGGCCGGGGGAGGGGGTCCTCCGGTCTGCGTTCATGAGTGTGGGTGTGGGTATAAATCTAGGGGTTGGCGCACTGAGCCCAGGCCTGCGCCCCCGCCTCCAGCACCCCCACCGACCCCACCCTGCCAAGCCCCCGAGCAAGGCCAACCTCCTCTTCTCTGCTAGGTCTCGCCGAGGTCGCCTTCTTTGCGCACTTTGGTTATTGATCCCGCTGAATCGGCCGGAGCGCAGCGGCTGCGCTTCTGTGGGAACAAGGGAATGGGGAGGTGAGTAAGCTAGGGGAACGGTGGAGGGGAGGAGAGATTAATCAACTTTAGGAGGGGTTGTAGGGCATTCCTCAAGGCCGCCCCATTCTCCCTCTGCCCGGTTTGGAGCAGGGCTAGACTACGGGTGGAGTGGGACCACCGCTCCCCTCCCCCTCCATCTCTCCCCCTGGCGCGGAGCCCCGGCGCAGCTGGGAGTCTAGGAACCCTGACTCCCGCCCAATCAGCGGCGAGGGGAGGAGCAGCGGCCAGGGGCGGGGCCAGAGGAGGAGGAGTCGGGCGGGGGCGTGAGGGGCGGGGAGCGGCGCTCAGGACCAGCCTAGGCTGGCTCCTCGATAGTGGGGTTGGCAGTGGCGGTCGGCATGGGCGATGGGGGCGCCGAGCGCGACCGGGGCCCCGCGCGCCGGGCGGAGTCTGCTGGCGGCGGTGGGCGCGGCGGGGACCGCGGCGGAGCGGAGGACTTGCGAGCTGATGGCGGTGGCCACAGCCCAACGGAGGTGGCCGGGACCTCAGCCTCCAGTCCCGCAGGCTCCAGGGAGAGCGGAGCCGACAGCGACGGGCAGCCCGGGCCCGGCGAGGCAGACCACTGCCGCCGCATCCTGGTGCGAGGTAAGGGGACAGCCCGTGGCCCTGCTCCACTGGACCCTCACCCTACCCATACTGGGGCCCCCGACCTTCTTGCAGGTGACATCTCCCAATTCATATATTCATTTATTCGTCATCCAGTCATTCATTCAGCAAATATTATTTTGAGCGTCTATTGTGTGCTGGACATTGAGCTGAGTGAGGGGACAAAGCAGCGAATGGGACCGAAGCGGTCCCCGTTTCTCCGCCTCTCGGTCCAGTCCCCTAGTCGTAGGCCCACCCGGGACCTCTACTGTGGCGGGGGCAGAAATGGAGTGCCGGATGCTGAGAGCCTGGTCTCTGTCCCGTGACCCTCAAGCAAGTGCGGAGAAAAGCGTCACGCGCGCTCCGCGGGGACAGGACGTGGAGAGAGCAGCGTCGGCAACCGCGGGAGGAAAAGGCCCTGGCTCTGCAGGGCGGCCGGGGTGCTTCCTCCCCTCCTGCTCAGCCGCGTTTCCCATCCCCGGCAATCCGGACCCGCACGGATTGCCCGGGGGAGATGGCGCGGGACGCGGAGAGTGGCATGCGCGGCGCTCGCCAGCTGTGCTTCACTCTCTCGCTTCCCACTTCCTCGCGGCGCCTGGGCCCAGCCGGCTCTCGGCGCCGCCTTCCCGCGGCCTGGCCTTCACGTCCTTCCCTTTCTCCCTTGGCTCTCGTCCTCCTCTCTTCTTTCCCGGCCATTCCTCTCAGCCGAACGCGTCTTCCCGGCACCTTCTTCCTGCAAGCGCCTCGATCTGGACTGCGACCGATTACCCAGCTCTTCCTGGCCTCCTCGCCGCGAGGCCGAGGCTCCCCAGGCCCCCAGCGCCAGCCTTTCGCAGTGCCGAGGGCTCCGCTTTCCCAGGATCTGGGCCTTGCCCGGCGAGATGGGAGGAGAAAGGGGACTCCAGGGTCTTGCCCTCAGCCCGACCCCAGGTCGCGGCCAGAGACTGAAGTCCGTTGCCTCCTCCACCCCGAAGCCCTGCGACCGGGAGACCCAGCGCCAGAAGAGGCCACTGGCGGTAATGGCTCCCCCAGGCTCCTTCCTGGGCTCCCTCCTCCCGGCTTCCTCCCGCTGCCTCTTTCCAGCCTCTTCACACGCGCCGCTCGGGAGAGCCTCTGGGCCTCTGGAGGCCACTGTCCCGAGCTGATTTCTTTGGCCTCCGCCTGGGGAAAGGGAACAGGCTGGAAGCTGGCCCTGGGTCGTTCCAGCGAAGGGATTCTGTTTGGTCTGAGCTCGGCTACCCTCAAGCTGACTGGGACACCCTGGGCCAGTTGGGTACGACCTCTCTGCGACTGCTGGGTGTGGGTGGCTCTGAGGACTGGAGTGCAGAGCATGAAGGCAGCCCAGTGTGAGGGTGACTGATGACTGCCTTGAATACAGAGGTAGGGGCCCTAGCTCTGGGAAACATTGCTGGTGCCAGATGTCACTGGGACAGTGGGTGCTCACTGCCACTCATAGTTGACTGCTTAAGTCAAGGCAGTTATACCATCAGGAATTCTAGCAGGTGTATGGACCTGTTGGGCACCAGGGATTAAATCCGGTTTTGTTCTTTAGACTGTGGGGTGTCCTGAGTGAAGGCATAAGCAGCCCTTTTGGTTCCTTTAAAAAAATCTGTAGGACTGCCAGAGAACTCAGTCTCCCAATCCCACACATTCCCAGGGGAAGATCTAAAGTCCCTGCCTGTGACACTCATCACTTTGAACCCCACCTATGGGTGGGCATTTTCATCCCCCCAGGACAATTGTGAGTTCTGTGCCCACCTAACACCCTCTCTGCCCTACTAACCCTTTATGTAGAGCAAATAAGTTTTGTGTACAGATGTCAATTAAATAGCCTTCAGGGGTAAACTAATAGGAAGTGGAATTCAAAAGTGACCCTCCAGCCTGTGAGGTGGGGCCACCCAAGCTGGAGCAATCCACAGTCAGGCAGAGATGGGCTTGCACTGGATGTAAGACAGCCTGTGTGAGTCTTCAGGGGGTGTACTTTTTATAAATGTATGTGCACACACAGAGGTGCCATTGCGTTTGTAAAATATAATCAAAATATTAGATATAAAGCATAGAGGATATATTTACACACCTAACAGAAAGGAAAGGCAAGTGTGGCTTTTATAAATCCCTCTGCCCTTCCCCATTTAATGATGGGGAGGTTATTATGGGCCTGAAACGCTCAGGATGTGATTTACCACTAATCTCTCCTAGCCAGGGTCACCTGAGTCACTGGCAGTCCTGCCATGGCTCAGGGCTCTGATCAATGAGACAGGCCTGGACTGGTGAAGGAAAGTCTGAACTGCCTTGGCCCCTGAATGAACATCCCTTCCATAGGCCTTCAATACACTTTTCCCTTGACCTCTGAGAACACATCCTCCCAAAGAATCTTTGGAAGGAAACCACTAAAAGGTAAAAGGGAGGCATTTGCACTTGCTGTCCTGTGTCAATGTTGGGTTGGGGCCTCCTCAGGACCTCCCCTTTCTTGGGGAGGCCTTCTGGGTCCTTTCTGCCTCCTTTCATTCTGCACTCCTCCACCTAAGAGCCTACCACAGGGGAGCAGGTTTGTTGAGGGAGTCCTTTGGCACAGGGAGTAGGAGGAGAGCTTGGGCGCCAGAGTTAAGCAAAGTTGGTTTAGATTACTGACCTTATAGCCCTTTAAACCTGAACCAATTTCTTTGTTTCTCTTTGCTTGCTTCCTCATCTTACAAAGGGACCCATAGCCCTTACCTTAAAGGACTTGCCAAGAATCAGAGGTGATGTCTAAAACTGCAAACACCCGGTAGGATCTCCATAAATATTTGTTGACAGAAGGAAGGGTGTAGCTCTGAGGTTAACCACTTTTGATGGGTGGGGCAGTGGACCTTTGTTGTTTGAGGCCTCTCCCAAGTCACCCCTTTCCCCCTCCTTCTGGCTCTGGCCCAGGGTCTGGGCTGTACTGGGAGGTGAGCACCTAGGGGTCAAGAACACACTGATGGTAAAGGAAAATCAGCACCATCTTGCAGACCACACAGTGCGGCCCTCCCCAATCTCCTTGGTGACTCAAGCCTCTGCCAATGCAGGGTAGAGAGCCAGGGAAGCCAAATGTGATGCCTCCCGTGCATCAAAATGAAGGCTCCTTCCCGTCACACAAGGGCACGGACCGGAGCTGCTGAGATGATAGGCCGGGCGCACAACAGGCACTCCGCACATCGCACCGCGGACTCAGCGAGCCTCCCATTCGGACCCTAAGGCCCGAGAAGGCCGCTCCACACCTCCGCTTGCACAGTCCCTAGACCAGTGAGGGCGGGGACGGAGGAATCCTTTTGTTTTATATTGGAAACCGCACACCAAAGGCAGGCAGAAAGCAACCAAAGGAACAGGCCGCCTGAGTCGTGGCTCAAACAGCACAGGGCAGTGGCCGAGCACCAGCCTTTTCGGTGGAGCTGGGATCCCAGCAGGCAGAAGAGGTGGACAACTCTGACCCCAGACTCCCTACGACCTCACGATCAACGCTCGCACCTGCACACTCAAACGCACCTGTTTCCCAAATTAATCTGGACGCGAATTTAACGACCGATTTTGATAGATCCGGGAAATTCTGTCCACCAACACAGCAACTTTTACAGACAATGCGTAGTGTCCGTTCCTGCTCACCCAAAGCAGTCTCTCTGGGCTGAGAGCCACCACTGTGGGTCCTCAAACCCCACTCGAAACCCTCCGAACCCCTCTGTCTGGGAGCGGTAGGGTGTGATGACTGCAGGATCCCTTGAAGAAGCCACTCGCTGCAACCCCACCACCAGCAGCAAAAACGCTTTCACCCGGGAGCTGAATGGATGCGCGGATGGCTGGGGGCCGTGAGGGGACTCGTGAAGCCCAGGCCTCTTGCTTGGGCTGGGCGATGCCCGCCGTGGGACGGGTGGGATTGACCTTAGTGGAGTCCAGCCCCTCGGAGAATCTGCGGGCAGCCGGGACCCACGCTCCAGAAACACGCAAGTCCAAACTCGTACACACAGCACAATGGCGTGCAGCCGCTGGGGCCCTATCTCCCAGTGGCGCGTCTGAAGAAGCCGTGCAAGGGGGTGCAGCTTCGGGGCTCAGGCTGGCAGGTTACTGCAGGGACAGACGCCTCGCCTCCAGCAGCCGGGTCCAGGCTCATGGCCGGCCGGCCTCTGCTCGCTTTCTGCTTGGATTTCCAGCAGCCACTGGGCTTGGGGAGATCGGCCCTGGCCGCAGGCCTAGCCCTGCTGCGCAGGCGTTTAGCAAGGACCATGGGACTTTCGTCTCAATATCTGAGTCTGTTAATAGACCTGATAACCCAGGACCAGCACCCCAGGCAGACATGGAAAAGTGTAAATGGCTCATGCAAGGAACTACACTTTGAGATTTTTGTACTTGTTTTTATTTTTTGGTTTTAGCTTTTGTAGAGGGTTTCTTTTTTTGGTTTTGTTTTCTTGGAGTTGCTTTACGTTATTTTTCCCTTTTACTTGTTTTCGGCAGGAGGCCCACATTCCCTTAGTGGGTCTATGCCGGCAGGCCCTCTCATTTGGGTCTTCCTTTGTTTTCTCCCTTCCATAACCCTCACCCCCACAAACACACACTGAAGCAGACCAGCAACCCGAAAAATCATCTTGTAGTTGTGTCTTGTGTGCCCAGTTTTCATTTTCAGGGAGCCGTTCAGGAAGATTAGACAGCTCCTTCCCTCCTCAGACGATTTCTGTTCCCCTTCTGGTCTGGTAGACCCAGGAACCCATGGAACCACCACCGCATCCCCCGCCCCACACACCCTCCTCTTCAGGAACGGTCCCCCAGGTAGCTTCTGGGGAGTCCGAGGGGCAAGGAGGCCAAATTCTTTGGAAGTCCAGACAGTGAGTGGGTACCTGGGGCTACAGAAAAGGGAAGAGATGGCAGTGGCATGCACCTGCAGTCAGTTAAAGCCACCGGGCTCAAGTCCTCCTCTTTTGTGCACCATCTGTAAGGAGACAGGGTGTCTATACATCATGTTGGCCTGGGTGCCATTTCCCCAATTAAACCTCTTGGCCGCACGCTCCTTTCTTGTTGGCTACATTTCTTTGATTTCTATTTTAATGGTGGGAGGTGGAGCATGTGAATTTTGCCTATTTGCTCTTTGCTTAATATAAAATCACAAATAATGCTAGACCTGACTACCCTTGGAGAGCCAGCAGCCAGTTACCTGGCTGTGCATCTGCAGATTCTGTACCCCATTTCAAGATACTCTGATAGAGGACACCAAGGCTGCATGAGCCTGCCCACCAATCCCTGGGGCCAGACAGATCTAGGAGCCTAGTTCACTCCTCACACCCCCAACCGCGCTTATCCCAGAAGGTGGTTGGGGGTTTCAGTGCCCTAGGTTCTCCCACTGTTGGTGGATGCTGACTGGGGACATCCAGCACTGCAGAAAGAGGTAGCAGCCCCAGGCTTGGATGTGACCTACAGAGCCAGGGTGAATGCACCTGGAGAGTCAGGGTGAGTGCCAGACTGGAGGAGTGTGCTGTAAGGTCTTGATAGGGGCTTGGGCTTGTAAGGGCTCAGGGCCCTCCTTGAACCGTCTCCCGGGTAGCTTTAACATACTTTATTCTTTCTTTCTTTTTTTTTTTTTCCTTTTTTCTTTTACTTTTTTTAGATACACTGGTTACTCTGTCGCCCAGACTGTAGTGCAAGGGTGCAATCATAGTTCACTGTAACCTTGAACCCCTGGGCTCAAGCGATCCTTCCTCCTCGACCTCCCAAGTTGCTGGATTACAGGACTGAGCTACCGCGCATTTCTTGTTCTTTAACTTATTCCACAAACATTAATGCGTACCTACTGTGTGCCAGACGGATCCTGGCTGAAGCTGCTGGCATGCAGTGTCCCAGGGATGTGAGCTATTTCTGCCCAGCTCCCACAGCCAGGCCATAAATCGTTGGGTAGGGACTTCCACGCTGAAGTCTAGGGGGCAGGCTCCCCGAGCCCTGTTCCCTCGACGCCAGGCAAAGACCGCGTAGAAGGTGGTCACTGTGCCCACCAAATCCAGGCGATCTTCCCGGATGCTTTTAGCGTACAGTAGGCACTCAATAAATACTTCTCAAATAATCTAAACGAGACAGAATTCATCAACATCGCGTATTTCTGTAGGTACTAGGCGGCCAACGCCTTCTCCTGGAAGAACGTGTGTTCTAAGATTGTCTTATTTTTTGACGTTGCAATGTCCTTCTTATATGAAACAGTGATCATGGCAAGACATAGAATAATTGTTAAAACATGAAGTTGGCAACGCCATAGCTTTGGAATTTTGTTTGTGCAATCCGCAGCTTTGGGAAGCACTGAATTACAAAACCTGAAACTACAAAATTACAAAACTACAAAATTACAAAAACTGAAAACCCTCACATATGCGGCCGCTTAGAGGCCGGCCCAGGCTGGAGCGGAGGTCTTGGGAAGCGCTGGGCCGCTCATAAAGTCAATGGTGAGTGTCCCGGCTTTTGGCGGCTGCTGGGTGTGAGGTTCCACGGGCAAAGCCAGCCAGAGGGTTGACAGAAATAACTAGATAAATCTGTGCCCCTGCCCCTGCCAGCTCACAAGGCTGCAGCCCACGACTGGAGCCAAAAATAACCGCGCAGTTGATGCCACGGTTTCCTTAGCGTATTGCTGGAGACACTGACTTTCAGAGCCCCTATCCCGCGTCTATTCCCCACTGCTTGGCAGCCCACGGCGTCCTCCCGCGGAGCTGCGGGAGCCAGGGCCGGGCAAAGGACACTGCAAAGCACAGCCTCCGGCAGGGCCACACTTACAATGTAGACAGGTAAATAGAGGATTTAAATTCAAAAAGTAATACGAGCTCGATTTTTTAAAAAAAACCAAAGGCAGAGAAGGATCCCAGGAACAGCCATTGTTTTCAATTCTGGGCGAGTCCTTCCAGGCGATTTTTCCATGCTCTTATACGAACAAATAAATAAAAGCAGAATCATATTTCATAGGCTGATTTGCAATTTACCATTTCAAAAAATTTAATCTGCAGTGATCATCTTTTCTGCTGAACTAGTTCTTGCTGTCCCTTGACTGTAGAATTAAGTATTCCTTTGGTTGGGGAGAGCCTAATTCCCCTAAAGACAGGAGGGGCGTCGGGGTTGTTTTTCCTTAGTATAAACACTGAAGTAAGCTTCGAAGGCAGCGGTCTTCTCGACCTTTGTTTCTGTGGAATAAGTTTCTAGCAGTGTGATTGCTGCTTCAAAAGGTTTACACACGCAATTTAAATATGTTTCATTTTCTGTAATAGGTAATTGTAAAATAGATAATTCATCAAAACATCTTTTTTTTTTCAGACATCAGGAGATGGGGGTCTCACTATTTTGGGTTTAAGCTGGACTCAAACGCCCACATAGCTGGGATTACAGGTGGGAGCCACAGCACTTTTAAAAAACTATCCCGTGAAAAACCTCTCCAATCCCTGTCCCCATCACCCACTTCCCACCTGGCTCAAGGACTTTCTAATATGTCCTTCCAGATAATGTTTACGCCTATGGAAATCAGTGCAGTTATATAATTTTTTTCTCCCAATATATCTTGGGGTATAAATAACTATTTGTTTGTTTGTTTATAGATGCATAATATTCAATTTAAATGGACTAGGTGGATCATAATGAATATCATATAACCAGTGCCCTATTTGTGGACATTTGGTTATTTTCTTATCTGTTTCTATTATATGTAATCCTGAAATAAAGAAACTTGTTCTTGGTCATTTCCACATGTGTGAGTATATCTGTCAGAGAAGTTCCTAAAAGTGAGTTACTGGGTCAAATAGTATCTGTGTTTGAAATTTGCAAGATAATCCCAAATTGTCCTCGGTAAGATAGTAACAATTTACACTGCCACCAGGGATGTCTGAAAGTGATTGTCTCCCCAAATTTGCCAGCACAGTTCACATTTTACATCTTGATAAATATAGCCAAGTTATTCTGCAGGAGAAGTTTAGTAATTTATGCCCACCCCTTTGCCCTGTTCCCACATTGGACATTTTGTATCATTTCATCTTTGTCAATCTTCATATTCATTAGCCAGCTGTATTTCCTCTATCTATTGATTCATTTCCTTTGACCAGTTTAATTTGCAAATATACTGTTTCCTCACTGATTTGCAGAAACTCTATGTATTGCTTTCAATATGTGTTGCAACATTTTAGTTTACAATTTATCCTTTGATTCGGTTTAGGATGGTCTTTTGTTTTCAAAAGTATAAAGTATCTTTTTATTTTTGTTATGTCATTATATTTTATTTTTTAGAGACAAGGGCTCACTCTGTCACCCAGGCTGGAGTGCAGTGGCCCAACAATAGCCCACTATAATCTTGAACTCCTGGCCTCAAGCAGTCCTCTCGCCTCAGCCGCTGGAGTAGCTGGGACTACAGGCAATCCCCACAATGCTGACCTGGCTTTAATTTTTTTTTTTTTTTTTTTAGTAGAGAGGGTTTCACCATATTGAGGAGGCCAGTCTAAAACTCTTGGCCTCAAGCAATCCTCCTGCCTGGGCCTCTCATAAAATATCTTTTTAATTACAAAAGCAATCCATACTATTTTGCTATGTCATATAAAATTTAGAAGTTTCTCATTTCTCTTACATAATACACTTCCACTCCTAAGATTTACCTTCCAAACTTTACCTAGTAATTGAAAAATACAAATATGTAAGTTATATATTACAAAAATGGGATTTTTGGCAATGGCTTTTTTTAATTTAAAAAAATTGTCTTACCTTGCAAGTATGGTAAAAGAATATTTGTGGAAATCTTTCTTTCTAGAACTCCCTCATTTTTTTTAACCACCGCATAGGATTCCATTATGTAGATATAATATAACTTATTTAACTGGTTCTCTATTGATGGATATTTAGGTTGGTTGTAATTTTTCATTATTACAAACAAGGCTGTAGTGAACATCTTTGTATCCTAATTTGAACAAATGGTTTGTTTTATATTTAATTATTCCTATCTTTTTATCAGGCAACATCTCATTTTTACCATAGAATGAGTGCTCCTTTG